GCTGCTGCCCCATATTTGCCCCATATCCAGAGGGGCTGCCCCCTAGCAGGGGGTGGTGCTGCCCCATAGAAGCCCCATAGCAGGGGGTGGTACTGCCCTATAGTTGGGGGGGGTGCTGCCCCATAGAAGCCCCATAGCCAGAAGGGATGCCCCATAGCTGCCCCATAGCAGGGAGTGGTGCTGCCCCATAGCAAGAGGTGGTGCTGCCCCATAGATGCCCCATAGCCACCCCATAGTCCGAGGGGATGCCCCATATCTGCCCCATAGCCGGGGGTGCTGCTGCCCCATAGCTGTCCCATAGCCGGGCGTGGTGCTGCCCCATAGAAGCCCCATAGCCCAGTGCTGCTGCCCCACAGCTACCCCATATCCAGCGGTGCTGCCCTATAGAAACCCTCCAACCACGCGCTGCCGCCCCATAGAAACCCCACAGCCAGAAGCGGTTCCGCCCCCTCGCCGCGCGCCAGCCAATCAGCGGCCGCGCTCCGCCCGCAGGTCGAACCGCGCATGCGCCGCGCCGCGCGGTGGGCGGAGCCTCGGCGGCTATAAAAACCCCCGCAGCGCCGCTCGCCGCCATTCGGCGCGGAGGTAAGTATGGCTGCGGGCGGGCGGGGGGGGGACGCCGTTTCCCTTCTACACGCGGGGCCGTCGCGGTGATGATCGCTCAGACTAGAGTCTCCGACCCCTCTGAGGACACCGCAGCGCCTGAGCGACGGCCCCGCTCCGCCGTCCGCCCCGCTCCGCCCTCACCGCTGTCTGTTCTTCGCAGGTTTCCGTCGCATCGGGTGGCCGCCGTAGCGGTAAGTGGCGGTTTTTCCCCCCCCTCTCAACCCGCGGTTCTTGCTGCCCCCGCGGCTGTGAGGAGCCCCGCACGAGGCCGAGCCGCCGTGACGAGCCCGCAGCGCACTGAGCCCGCGGTGTCCGCGCCGCCAGGCCGCTCCGCGCTGCGCCGTGTCCGCTCAGTGCTTGGTTTTTTTTGTTTATATCCTTCAGGATCGGCGGAACGCACGGGAAAGGCGATTTTGGGGGGCTGCGCCGAGGTAAAGCTGCGGTTTGTGGGTAATAAAAGAGGTTTTGAGGCTGTTTGTGGTGGTGGAGTGGTGATTATCGCCCGTAGGGGCGGTGGGGCCGCGTGGGCGCCGCCATCTTGGACGGGTTCCCGCCCGTAACCATGGGCAACGGGGGTGGGGTCACGTGGTGCGCAGCCACTTTTGTAACCCTGCGTTAAGGGGTTGGGGTCACGTGGTGCGCCGCCACCTTTGTAACCCTGGGGGAAGTTGGTGGGATCACGTGGTGCGCCGCCATCTTTGTAACCCTGGGCCAAGGGGTGGGGTCACGTGGTGCGCCGCCATCTTTGTAACCCTGGGCAAAAGGGGGTGGGGTCACGTGGTGCGCCGCCATTTTGGCCCTTCGCGAAAGGGGGAATGGTGGTGACGTGATGCGCCGCCATCTGGAAGCGGAGTCTCGTAGGAAGAAGCGGGGACGGGTGCTCATCGCGTGACGCCGCGGGGTCGTAGCGAGGCGGGAGGCCTTTCCGTAGCAACGCCGGTGCGTCGTGCATCGCCGTTTATTTTGTCGTTATTACACCGGCACTTCCGGTAACCGTTCTGGCTGCCGTTGTCACGTGACGCGCCGCCATCTTGAAAGCAAGGCGGTACTTCCGCTCGTCCCTATAGCAACGCAGCCACGTGACGTGCCGCCGTCTTGGACCCAGGGCCGTTCTTCCGCCCGTCCCCATAGCAACGCCCCCACGTGACCCTCATGCCGTTTTGGAAACAAGGCGGTACTTCCGCCCGTCCGCATAGCAACGCCACCACGTGACTATCCGCAGTATTGAAAGCCAGAGAGTACTTCCGCTCGTCCCCATAGCAACGCTATCACGTGACCCGCCGCCATCTTGGATCCCGGGCCGTCCTTCCTCCCGTCCCCATAGCAACGCCCCCACGTGACCCTTCGCCATCTTGCAACCAAGGCCGTCCTTCCGCCCGTCCCCATAGCAACGCCCCCACGTGACCCTCCGCCATCTTGGATCCCGGGCCTTTCTTCCGCCCGTCCCCATAGCAACGCCCCCACGTGACCCTCCGCCATCTCTACCATCCCGTCCCCGATGTGGCGCTGGGCCCGGGGCGCTCCGTGGGGCCGAGGCCCTCCGTGGGGCCGCGGTGATCCTCCTGCCGATTCCGCGGAACCTTTGGAGATCTGCTTAGCCTTATCCAGACGCCTCTTCGATTTGGGCGCCCTCTGCTGTCTCGGAGCGGCCCGGACGGCTTTGCGGGCGTCGGGAGCCGGACGGCTGTTGGCGGCGGTCGGGTTGGGAGGAGCGACCGGAGCTTGGCTGCAAGGCCTGGCCGCTTTCCTGTTGGCCGCCGCGGCGCTGCGGTTGTTGCTGCAGCACCTCCTGCTGCCTCTCGGTGCCGCTTACGCCGCCGTGCAGGGCCTGGTGTTGGCCGCCAGCCTGCGGCATCCGCGGAGAGGGGAGCCGGACGGCAGGGATCCGGCCGAGACGCGGCGAGAGACGGGGGAGGACGGCGGGAACGGCGATAGTCGCGATAGCAGCGACGCGGGGCGAACGGACGGAGCGAAGGAGCAAGGATTAAACCCCACCACCACCCCTGTGGAGACTTGGGAGCCCCCCCACCCCATGCAACTGTGAGGACCCTCATGGAGCATCAGGATTTCCCCCTCCCCCGCCATGAAACCTTGGGACCCCCCCACCCTTATGGAG